CGCCGCACCGCCCTCGTCTGCCAGCTGATGAATCTGATCTGGCCCGCTGCACCGGCAGTACGTCGTCACACGACAGACGAATTGATGCGCGTCGTTCAAACAACCTCTTGCAGGGAATTAGCACATCACTTGCCTTTAGGAGGCGGTCTTCGGGGTGCTCCCCTGACAGAGCACGTGACAGCCGCAACGTCTCCCGTCGCTCGTGACAGGCAGTCCACAATGTCGTTTTAGAGCGTGACCGTAGCATCGTCAGCGTTCGACCGAGATCAGCGAGCCGCCGTCGTTCTCCACAAATGTCACCACTGATCGCCTTCATTAGACCGATTCGTCTTTCGTCGTCTAGATGGTCCCTAATGCTCTGCCAGATTACTGTCAGCGGCCGTCTGGCAACGCGGTCATCAGATGAGGCGATCCCGGCGCAGCCCAGCTGGCGGTGTGACACTGCCTCGCTTGTGTTGCCTTGGCAACGCCCGCCGGCTGTTTCGGCGCCGGTCGATTGTTTGCACGAGCGGCTAATCGGCGCGCTCGTTTCAAGGCGTGGCCTGCCAATGAAGCGTGGGCGAAACGCGACACCGCCGCGGCCGCGAAAGGGGTGACGGATTGGGGAGACGGGCGCGACGCGTCACACTTGGATTCCGTTCGCAGGTGGCGCCAAAAGCGGGAGCCGTGTCCAATGGTCGCTCCAGCCCACATGTGCGATTTTCACTGCCGGTGTTGCCGAAAACAGCGGCGACCGTTTGCAGGCGGTACCCTTACAGATGCGATGCGCCGTCCTCCAGATAAGGCGGGCCGCCTGTGTTTATGTCGGTGTCACTAGCGTCATCAATCACGCAGTGTGTATTTCCGAGCCCCACTTCCGCGCTTCCAGCTACCACATTACTTCCTGTATATGTGAACTACCGCCGTTGAAACGCAAATAAACAACTGCATTATTCATTCCCCTGGACCTTTCGCTCACCCGTGGCCACTTCACATCCCTCCCCCTCCCCCCTTCAGACTTCTTGCTGCCACCTGCAACGCCGACCACTTTTTCCCAGCTTCCACCACCCTCGCCGGCTTAGGTCGATTCCCAGTGTTTCTTGTCGCGGGGAGGGGCCGGCACCTTCCCCTTCCGCTCCCCCTTCGGCCCCCTTCCCCGTCCACCTTTCCGTCGGGCGCGACGCCGCCGCCGCGGGTAAATAAACCCCGTGTCGATACAGTTACGGGACGATCTCCAGGGCCGGCTGGCAGCCCCGGCTGCGCCGTCGCCTTGTGGCCGCCGGCGGAGAAGGCCGACGGCGGGGGAGCTCCCCCACCGCGACCGGCGTCGCACCGTCCGGCGTCTGCAGCCCCTCCCGTCCGTCACGGCCCTCCCCCCCCCCCCCTCGCTCGCCCACACCTCCGCCGAGATGTGTATCATGCAAATGCTGACAAATGATCGCGGCGGCAAAAAGCGCGGCGAGCGGTTTTTATAGCCGCGGGCGAAATGCACTCGAGGCGCCGGCCAGCCGGTGCATTCCGTGCCGACGCGGGCGTGACGGCCGAGGCGGACGGAGGAGATGGAGACGTCCCACCTGCGCCGCGGGACCGGGACGGGAGACGGACGGGACGTGGAGGGTGTCCGGTCCGGAGGTGACCAGGGACTCACGAAGGTGTTGGGTCCGGCGATGGAAACAGCCCACCTGGGCTTTGGAAATGGGACTGACGATGGACAGGGACTGCACGGGGTGTCGGGTTCAGAAATGCATGCGTCGTAACTGAGACGGAGGAGGATTGAAATACTAAGGGATTTACCAAAGATAAAAAGGTGGACAGATTGAGAGAGGGGTACCTCCCACCTGGGGCGCGGAAGAAACAGAATAATGACATAACTCTGAGAGATGAGGGCCCTGAGGTGGGAACGTTCGACCCAGTATATGACCTGACCCGACCCGAGGGCGACAGGTGACTCAGGAGGGTGTGATGTTAAGAGATGGCGATGTCGGGACAAGAACGTGAGAGAGACGTGACATGGGTGTGCCCCGCGTGCGACGCAGCAGAGCCAAGAAATGACTCGGGGCAAGGGATGGTGTGGGGTCCAGAGACAGAGCCGTCACACCTGCGATGTGGGAGGAGCACAAGATGACCAGGAACGAAGGAGGATGTTGGAGCGAGAGATGAGACGTCCAGCCGGGGCCCTTCGGATGACGCTGTAGCAAAGTATGGGGCACACGTGGCCGGAACAGAGATGACAAAATCGTTAAAAAACCAACGACTCTAAACTGGCCGCGCGATAGAAAAATGAAATATGCAGTGTCATGAGGCGACAGACCTCTCGCGTGCGTCGGGCCCGACGGTGATTGGTCGGCTTCTTCCACCTGAGGTCAGACTCATCCGTTAAGCACCGCCTTAAATTTAGATGCCGGCTGCTTGCCAGCAGCGATGAGCGCTGGAGAGGAGCGATGGGCGGGAAATGAGGTGCGAACAGACGAATGGTGGTGATGTAATGCGTTGAGGAGCACATGCCTCCCACGATCCTGTCGGAGCCTCCCACGATCCTGTCGGAGGCTCCCACGACCCTGTCGGAGGCTCCGCGACCCTGTCAGAGGCTCCCGCGATCTTGTCAGAGGCTCCCGCGATCCTGTCAGAGGCTTCCACGATCTTGTCGGAGGCTTCTACGATCCTGTCGGAGGCTTCCGCAATCTTGTCGGAGGCTTCCGCTGGCCTGTCGGGCCATCCAACTCGGCGAGTTATCCTCCAAAGCTGTCTGCGTGCGTGATCAAAACTCACAGCGAAGCATAAAACGTTCAGTCAGCACCAGCTGTGCTGTGTCCGAGGAACCGCTTCTGTCCAACCCTGTCCACTGTAGACACCGTAGAGACGTGTTGAGTAAAAAGCCCACTGGTACCACCAAAAGGCCACCGACGGGGGCCTCTGCTGGCTATGCTAGCCTAACAAGGCGACCGTTATCGAGTTAGTTGACGGTGGCATGCGATATCAAGGGTGCTGCCGGCGGTAATGCGATAGTTGGACTGTATAGTTACGTGCAGGAGTCATGGGATCCGGCCGCGTGAAGAGGTGCTGTGTGGCCCGCCCCACCGCGGCCTCGCATCCGATGCAGACCTGTAGCGTTACCTGCGTGCGGGCACATGCTACGCCAGTCCTGTTGTCTCGATTCTGTTGGCATACTGGATCTGCATGCATATGCTCATGAGGCATGCGCGTGCCGTTGGTTGTCAGCGTGTTTAGCAACGTGGTTTGTGTAAAAAACGTCACTAAGGATCTAGTAGGTGCAATAAGCTGCCAATTTACGGTTTCGAGAAAGGATGTCCAACTCACATAAATACGTAACGAGAGCTGGGATGCGACGAAAGAAAGCGGACCTACAGCTGACCAATACACATAAGCTATGCGAGGCATCGAGCGGTTGCGTTATGACGTGGGACGTGCGGCGGAGCGCGCCAAGGTATGATTTTGTAGCTCCACATGCAACAAAATGTTCTAACTTCAGCAACGGTTGAGTATAGCTGATAGTACGTATGGGAAGTTCTGGGTGTGTACAAGTCCATCAGAAGATAGTGATGGAGATAATGGGAAGACCGAATTATTCCAAAAGATAATGGATATGAAACATTTGGGAGGAAAGAAATTACCGATAATGTGCGGAGAATGCAAAAGGCGGCTGCATGGGAAGCAAATCGACTAATGAGCAAATTATTAACGGGTGCGCACCTGGGAGAAATCACGGCACTTGAATTTCCGATCACCATGATCAACTTTGCCTCGGTCTCAGGCGGAAGGGGAGGCAAAAAACAATCGAGCTCACGGGGCTGAACTTGGTCTGCTGAAGCCAGTGAAAGTCAATTGGGCCTGGGCCTAACGGACGTACCCGACACCCACGGAAGTTGGCTCGGCCAACTGACTCCTGTGTGACTGATATGTCTTCACAGAGAAAATAAATGGACCGTTTCAGGTGGTGGGAATTTCTAACATTTCCTTTCTAATGCTTTCGTGATGAGCGTCAATTTAATCGCTCACTCTCGGTCTCATGTCTTCCGTGAGTGATAAGCGTAATTAGTAGTGTAGTGTTTCGAGAAACCTTGTGGTGTTGAAATAATTTGACTTGTTATTACAGAGAGCCTGGCGGATTAAGGCCCTTTTATCAGAAAAATAAAAATAGTAATTATTTAGCACTGATACAAACTGTGATCGAGGCTTTACATCTCATATGCCGCCTGGGCCATTTAAGTATGGAGTGAATTAATCAGACACTCTATAGAATGCGGTAATGGTGTGGCCAGGATTCGATCCTAGGACCGACAGGTCCGAAGCTGAACGCACCGACCACCGCACTACCACCGCGCATAAGCCGTTTCTCACACAACGCCTGAAATGCCGCCAGATTAGCATGTCACTCAGGCATTAAATGCTCCATATCTCTGCGACGTTCCATCCAGTCAATGAACCGAAGGTGGCCGATGTTGGATAAGACGGGCAAACGTTTAGCAACTTTTCCGTGATGATATCGATTGCTCAGAGCGCCCGTAGTGCTTAAGGCTGAGGTCATATAGCCGTCATGTGTTTTGGGTTTATGTTAAAGTTAGAGCTCTCCTGGGATACATTAGACTTGATAGATGCTAATTTTAGTATACTGTAGTTGCTGCTGTCGGCCTGAGCGTTTCCAGAGGTTCGCTTGCACATCAAATGACATGTTGTAATGAGGTCAATATTTGCAATCGCCAGTAGCCGTAAGGGCGGCATTGCCAATAGAAAATAAACATGTGACCAATTTATCCTTGATCCAGAGGTACCTCTGGACTGCGATAGCACTGACGTAGACTTCAAGGCATTTTCTATCGTTCGCCCATAAACCGAGCATCAAATAAACGTCTACCGCAAACTACACCCCTGCACACATCTTCTTATACACGCCGTCGCACTGATGCGACGTTCCAGCTGCCCCACTCGGCCCAAAATACACAGCACACAGACCCCCCCCCCCCCCCCAGGTCTTGACCCACCTCTCTGACTTTTTGCCGCAGCGGGTGGCGGCGCCCCGAAGATCACAGAGCAGCCGACCAATGAGCTGGTGGTGCGCGGCCAGCCAGTGACCTTGAACTGCAAGGCCGAGGGCGACCCATCGCCGCGGGTCAGCTGGTTCAAAGATGGCCGCCCGCTGGCGGCGGCGGCCGGGCCGCAGCGCTTCTTCCTGCACGGCAGCTCGCTCTACTTCGTCGAGGTGACACAGAACCGGAAGGAGGACGACGCGGGCACGTACTGGTGCGAGGCCCGCAACAAGCACGGCACCGCGCGCAGCCGGAACGCCACGCTGGAGGTCGCAGGTGGGTCAGGGGTCAGGGGTCAAGAGTCAGGGCAGAGCGAGGTCAAGCTTTGGCAGTTCCCTTGAATTGAGAGGGGGAGGGGGTTTGGAGGTGGACAGATTATGAGCAGGAACATGCCAGTGCCGACATGAGAGAACAATATGGGTCTCAAGAGTGCATGAGATCCTGTAAAGTTCTGTCATGCGCGTCATGTCATGTTCTGTCATGGAAGTCTGTCATCAGTGCTGACTGAGCTCCGTTGTATCGTGTGTACATATCTAGTGGGAGGAGCGCGAGGCTCGCCAAGTCAGCCGGATTTGCAGTGAAGTCTATTCCTCTGACTTGTCTGCTCCACGTGATCTGGAGATTAAGACGAGGTTGACTCAACTGCGCGCAAGTGAGGTTATGGCGAAGTCAGTGCGCGTGTCGTGTGGGGCCTTCAAACGGGGCCTTCATATGTGTCAACCGTGCTGCCCGACTTAAGCAGATCCCCGACGATTTGGGAACTTTCTTACGATTCGCTAATCAGCTTGCAATCAAACAACTAACATCCAGTGGAATCCTTCCAGCTCACGCTCTACAAAATTCGCACTCAGGCACTAAATATACGCTTCCACGGAGGAGCACTGGCCACTGGACAAGAAGCACGAGAGCAGAGCGTTTCGTTGCCGAACAGATCCGTCCGCGGTCGAGGCAGAGCCCATTGGCAATCGGCCGACGCGGGCCGGAGACCGTCCGTCGTCACCGGCTCCTGCCGCGGCCGCCGAGCCGACAGGCCGCAAACGGCCCGCGTCTGTCGGCTCCGCCTGTCAGCGCCGCCCCAGTGCCCCCTATCCTGCGGTCCGGAGACGCGCCAGAGCGGCGGCGGCCGACCTGCCGCCCGTGCTCGCCCCTCCCCGCCTGCTCCGGTGCAGCGTCAGTGCTCACAGTCACGGGGAGGAGAGCCATGTGTCGCGGTCTGTCACCTCCACCCAGCTCAGCAGCCGGCGACGGCGGTGTGGACAGAGCGCAGTGGCAGCGGCGGCGCGCGGCTGTCCCTGCCGGCCACCCGTCCGCTGTCCTCCCGGCACGCCGACGCACGCCGCGGCACGCGCGCCGGACGTGCGTGCGCGTGCGGCTGGCGCGTGCGGTCGGGTGCCGCTGCCGTGGTCTGGACGCGTAGCCGGCGGCGCCGCGGTCGGTCGATACACGTAGGCGGCGGCCACGGCGAAAATAGCCGCTCGGACACCATCGAGTGCAATCAGCCGCGGCCACGCTGCTGAAACATGCCACGCTCACGCGCATACAGAGCAGGCGGCCGCTGATTTTGTGGCCGTTTCGCTGAAAGCCACCTGTTAATATGTGGCTTTCAGGTTCCGTGGGTGCTCGGAGGATAAATGACGCTGGCGGACACGCGATTGAACGCTGAGACCTGGGTCGTCCAGGCAACAGTTCTATTGTTGAAGAAAGTCGGCTGAGGGAGCGACAATTTTTTACCAGTTTATCATGGCGAGCAGCTAGAACTCCGCACCATTAAAGCGTGGTCGAAATCAAAACGGGTCTCGCACCGGCAGACCCATTGCTCCAGTCAGCCGCCGTCCGCGCTGCACATCTCTCCCATGCCCGCGCTGTTCAACCCGCCATTGTGACCGCCTCGACTCCAGACTCCCGACTGCAGCGCGCCCGACTCTGACTCGCCGCACGCGCCGGTCGTCGACTCGGCTGCACCGCGCCGTGCAAAGCACCCCTGGAGACCGTCGACCGCGCGCGGCCGCCGGCGGCCCGACGGCCTTTGTGACGGCAGCCTGACATCCAAATGTCACCCGGACAGGCAGGACTGAGCCGCAATCAGCGCCCAGGACAGGTACAAATGGAGGGGCGCGCGCGTGCCGCCGCGCCCGGCCGGGCCGGCCGGCCTCTGACCGAGCGACGAATGACCCGCCGGATAGCGGAACCGCAATTGTAATGCGGCCGGAATTGCGTACTTGCGGGTCGAGCATGCGTGTCAACGTGATATACAAGGTGCGCCGGTATAAAGAGCGGCGTACGCTGTCCATTATTCATCTTCACGCGCAGGTTACATTGGCCCAAATATGCGGGTTTGCATGTGCGGGCGCATATGTCGAAAGGCTGCAATTTTCTCCACGGGGCTCGGGCGGCGGAGTGAGTTATGACTGCCTGCACGCACCTCCAGTGGGGCTCGTCCTGTTCGGACGCTTTCAAAGCGCTTTTACATCGAGGTTGACTTCACCGGTTGAACAGCGACGCAATCTTTTCATCGCGGTCGTGTTCACAGTCGGATGAGCTTAAATCTAACAGCAGTTCAACTCTGGGTTTACGGAGATCAGGTTCTCTTCTAAGAACCAATTATCTGCCTCTATTTCAGCCTGAGCGATGTTTGAATCTCGAACTCGTGATAAGATGTTAACGGTTAGTTGAGGGATTTGCCATCCCCCAGTTCTGGAAGGAACGATTAACATAACTCACCAACACGACCAACGATTCACACTTCAAACATGACTGAACTATTCGACTGGTATCCTCATGTTCAGACATGAACCCCGACAATGTTGACCTTCAAGCCAAAGCCGACTTAGTCTAGCGCACATCTCATGAGGACCGTCACTCAGTCGCTCACGACCTCTATGCATATCTCGAACTGTTATCCACCACCGCAGTCCTTTCAGAGCTGCCCGCGTCTCCGCCGTCTCTCAAACCTCCCCTGAGTCCCACGAGCCGCGCCTCCCCTCCCCACCCGCTGCCCGCTGCCGGCGGCGTCCGTCTGGTCTCCGCCACACCTCGCCGACGCTCGGCCTGACCGGCGGCAATTCATCCCGCGCTCCCGGCACGGCGCGCCCGTCGTCGCGCCCGCCGCGCGCCGCCGGTCTCGCCAGGATACACAGCCCGCCGCCGGACGGCCGGGCCGCCGGGCCCGCCGGACCGCCGCCAGCACGTGCCGCTCCGCCCCGGAAGCTGGCCGGTCAGCGGGCGTGAGGCAGCGTGAGAGCGGCCGCCGATCCCGTGAGAGCGGCCGCCGTCGGCGCGGGAACTCGGCCGGCGTCGGCACGTTTGAGGCGGGCGGCGTCGTGCCGGCCGTGCCGCCGGCAGCGGACGATATGCAAACGAGCTCCGGTTTCCAGCGCGGGCGCGCCGCCGTACGGTGTTGCAGGGTAGCCGGCGCAGCGATTCGGCTCACGAGCAGTCGCCGCGGTCGTCGAGGGCGACGTTCGTCGTGGGTTGCCGTTCCTGCTGTCGGCTCCTGTTCCCGTCGGCTGGCTTCGGCTCCTGGTCCCGTCGGATAGCTCTGACTCACGGCTCCTGTACGCTTCTCCTGGCTCCTGGCCGGCTGCCGGCTCCGGCTCCTGCTCCTGGCGCCCGCACCAGCCCCGGCTTCCACGGTCCCTCGGCCACGCAGCAATCTCGGCGCACCGGTCATCGCCGTCGCCGCGCGGCCCTCAAACAGCTATCTGATGCGCTCGCCGGCGAGCCGGCTGCCGGCTCCGCCGTCAGGGGCCGCTTGTCACAAAGCCGCAGCCGGCGCCGCCTTCGGTGGTCGCGTTTATTGCGCATTCCTGAGCCGCACAAAGAGGGGACGGGCGCCGATTGATTGCGCCCCGGCGATAGACGGCGCCGCGCCGGGCCGGAATCGATGGCGGTGGCCACGCTGACGGCCGACGCCCCGACATCCGGGGAGGAGTGACCGCCACGACTCAGTAAATGTTATGGTTCGGGATGCGGTCGTGTCGGGGCGAACGACGAGGGGGAAGCGGCATCTTCCGCTGTGGGGGAGACGACGTCGTGCGCTCGGCCCGCTCGACCGAACCGTCTCCGGGTGTGGGGACCTTGGCTTTGTTCTTGTCGGGAGAGCTAGTGTTTCCGCGGAATGTTTTTGCTGGTGTAGAGCGGCGCAGTGCATTGTAGGCTGGCGGGATATGGTTTTCTATCTCAGGGTTTGTTTGTTGAAGGCATACATTTCAACCTTCCGTAGCAAATCGCGGCAAACTTGAAAGAGGACCGTGCACCCTGAGTGAAATGTATAGCTGAAACGGACCAGGTATTTAGGTACCAACGACGCATCGCACGGGACACATTTCCGATTTTGATCTATCGTATGATATTTGAGCAGCATTATCTTCATCTTCGAACATTCGTCAGTGGAGGTGGTCGGATGCGCGGCACTGAACCGCACCGTCCCGCACAACGCTACGAAGAAATCTCACATCGCCCCCCTCCCCCTCCCCTCCTAGAGGAGTGTGGCCTGGTTCCGGTGGAGCCGATGTCGTGATTGAGAGCTCCCGGCCAGTTCTCACAAGGCTGCTTTACCAGGCCGTCTGATAAGAGCGCTCATACACGATAGCCGGTGCAGGCTGACCAGCTGCAGTACTCAGAGCTGATGGTGATCGGAAAGGCGATAATTACACGCTCCGTCCGCCGGCGGTCGACACGAGAAACATTCTATACAGGGAACCGGTTGAATGCCTGAGCAATTGGGGCTACATATCAGCTTCCGGCGGCGGCTGACCAGTTACCACGCCAGATGGTGGTATTCGACGCGCGATCTTCAGGCAAGCCCGACATACCGCCGTTCTAGTTCGCATGCATCACTGCCTAATGGATTCGTGGCTTGCCTGCCTCGCTATCTCCATCGCTCCGAGAGGTCCGCGCGGGCCAAAGGTGCCGCTGAGCTAGCCGAACACGCCCAGATCGTTCCGCTGCCGCCTCTTCGGCCGCTGCCAGCGGCGGGCGCCGGCTCTGCTGGCCCGCCGGGGATGACCTGCAGTGCCGCTGCCTCGGGCGCCGCGGCCATGGGTGTCAGTCACACCGCGCCGAAGCCCCGGACCGGCGCCACGGGCTTCGCTCCCCTCTCCTGGTCCCCCCTCCCGGCGTGTGGGAACCTCGCGGGCGTCAAGCTGTGATACCCGTGGCGGGGGAGAGCATAATTTCCAGGCGCCGGGGCCCAATGTGTGGCTGCGCGTGATTTCATGAAGATGGCCTGATTTTCCGGTCAATTTATCTAAACAGACTGTCGTCTCGCGCTGATTTATAATGCATGATTGTCGTGCCTGATGGGAAAGTATCGTCACGCCGATAGCACAGACGTGATTGGAGCGGTGCATCACGGCGCCTGCGTTCAGGAGGATTTCTGGTTATGGTTTTTTTGTGAGCCTAGCGTTGCTCAGCGTCTCGGGCACCGGGCATCCTCACCTCTGAACAATTACACTCCTGGCACCGTAAAATGAGGTAGCCGGCACCGTCGCACGATATAAACCCCGTCATTCGTCGGCATACGGGTAGCGTGGAAACTTAAGGGAACATGGCATGTGAACGGCAGTACAATCGCATCAGCAATCTACGAGTCCCCAGGCTAACATCATAAAACGGCCAGTGACCGCTTCGTTCTGCCTGCCGCCTCTTGGGACCATTGCAATGTTATGTTACCCAGGGGATAAATAACTGTTGTCATGGTGGTCCGCAGCAGGCTTGAACTGACCCTTCTTGGGTTATTTATGACCTCAACTAAAACAACTTTTGAAGAAAGCGTACCTTCCAATGACGTTGATTGAGGCATTAAGTCCGAAGTTCCTGCGCAAGGCCCCATAATGACGTCCTGCCTAAGAATAAAAAGGCCCACGGGTGCCGTCATTGACCCAGAACCGAACTGGCTTTTCACAAAAATGATCTGAGGTAACTTAGAATAAACGCCCTTCGGCGCGAAGCTTTTGCGTTTAGTGCATATATGCGTTGCCTTGACCCTTTTAATGACCTTTTATACTTAAGCAACGGGATGCATCGCCTAAATTTGCTTGGCACCCCATTTATGTATGCACTTCTGAATTTTCGGCCTTCCGTCGTTCTCGGTCGAAACGAGTTAAGGTATTTCAACGCTGGTGCTCTTCCAGCCGTTACATACATGCAGCTGCAGATAAATGTCAGTTAAGAGTCACGTCCACAATCACAGAATGAGTATGTTGCTCTGTAGGTCTAGCTGTCCTGTAGAGTCAAATAGTTTAGTGCTAAGAGGCGCTCGACTCATTACCGACACAAGGAGCGGTGGAGTACAGCTCAGTGCATCTCTTCAGAGGCGTTTCGGGCTAATGCGAGCTGCGGCGGGCATGCGTTCATTTTTTGGGACGTCCGCCAGGCAGACCCCGGCCGAGAGTTGTGGCCTCCCATTCCGGACGCCAGCACCACTTGTCACCATCAAAACTCTGCACCCACGACGACTGCCCCTCTTAGTTTCGCGAATTCGCCGTCTTCATAACACTTAATGTAAGCAGGCAATCTTTCCTTATTTATGGCCGCGCTTCGCCTGTAGATTGGCCGTTAGACGGCGGCAACAAGTCATCGGGGAGCGGGCAAGGCTGCTAGATGCGAGGCCCCGCCGCTTAGGGCCCGGAACGGCGCCGTTTTCGCCCCCGCCGCGGCGCTTTCGTCGCGATTGCGCGCCGGGTGCGTCGACACAGAGCGGCCATTGTGGCGGCGCTGGAGTGGCTGGGTCACCGGCTGATAGCGGGCCGCGCGCGTGTCGAGCCCAGATAGAGTCCCGACGGGTGTCGAGCGTAGATACCCCGCTGCACCGCTGGACCGAGTCCAAACAAACACACCGGGACCGAGGGGGGGGGGGGGAGGGGGTACCACATCTGCATCTCGCGGCGAGAGGTGCGCAGCGCGCGCTGGTAATGGGGGCGACTTGACGCCGGCTCGGCGGTGAAGTTTTTCATCGGCGAAACGTGACGAAGTGGGAATCCGCTGCTGCGCCTTCGCATCTTCTGCAGCGCGATACCGGCGAGACTGCGATCACGGTCCGCGAAGCGTGCCAGACGGCCTGAGCCGAGACGGCCGGCCCAGCCGCGGCCACCGCCGGCCGGCACGAACGCGTGCCTCTCCCAGGGTCCCAGGTGCGACCAGTGGCCGGAATGTCACGTAGGCGCAGCCTGCACACCGCCCGAAAGGCTCAGGCTGCAACATGCGCCTTGGACGCTGCCACGGGCCCGACGCGGCCGAGTTAAGGTTATGAAGAGTATCCTGAGATTCACGCTGTCGCGCAGAAGCCCGGGCAGGCTGGCAGACGAGCGTCGGTGCGAGGCATCGGTCGGTCGCCGCTCCGACCGCCGGCGCCTGCCCGCAGGTCACCGCAGGTCCGTGCGTGGAGGCCGTATTGACCGGCCGGTAATCTGGGCTGTGACGTCAGTCACGGGTCGGCCGTGACTCATCGTATTGAGCCTGTACCTGCCGTGGGCGGCGTGCTGGGCTTGCACCTTCCGTGGAGCTGCCGTGGGCGGTGTGTTGGGTTTCCACCTCCCGTGGGCCATGTGCTGGGCCTGCTCCTCCCGTGGGCCGTCCGCGTAGCATCTCTCCCCCCCCCCCTCATGGGAGTGGACGCAGCCCGCTGGCGTGATGGGAGCGATGAGCGCTGGCGAGGCACGGCCCAAACGGGCTCCGGGCGGGGCAGGCGGGCTTGTTCTCAGGAAAACCTGCCGCTATGGCTCACGGGGGACCCGCTGAATTATTGGGGAGCCCCGCCCACCAGAGAGACGCCGTCATCTACTTACTGTGATGAGATATTTAGTGTGCCGAGGACAGGGAGTGGAACTGTACGCGAGGGACGGTCCAGAGTGCTTAGGAGCTTGCAGTCAGAGCTCAGAAACGGAGCTCCGCCATGCCACGCATGTCAGAGAAGTCCGCCGCCATTAATCACACGGTCTGTTTCTCATTCCCGGAATGGAGTCATCACATTGTGCCTGCGAGGGCGGCGGTCAGCCATTTCTGCCTCGATGCGCTCATTGTGCCAGTGCTCCGAGAGGAGTTTCTAGCTGTTGGACATGCAGTGCGGACTTCACGTCGGAAGACAAGTTCCGCGCGGACTGACGGGTGTATAACGCGTTCCCCGTTGTTAGACATGAGTTTGCAGTTGCCTGTCTCGGGTGCCAAAAAGTTCCAAATGGATGGCCTCAGACCGCTGCTCCAGTCTTGTGTGGCAAGCACAGGCTGACTTCTATTGGTGCAGCTGACCTTCGCTGGGGTATATGACATGGAATGGTTTCGGAATCACTTCGTACTTTTTGGACCTTTGCTGACACAGAACTTCGCCCTGTGGGATTTATGCAAAGCAGAAAACTCGTCCGGCAGCGTTGCGGCGTGAATCTGAGTCGTGTTGCGATTTTTCTATAGTTCACCACTGACTGAAACTCAGTGTTGATACGTAATTCTGCTTCTGCAGTGTTATGGCGTAATCGTGGGTTAACCCGCTTGTCTTGACCTACTCCAGTGTTGCGGGACAGCCTCGGGTGGTGTGTCGCGGCTTTTTTTTGGGGGGGGGGGAGGGGAGAGCTACGCGACTGACATACCGCGTGCCTGTCGCACTAATACACAACTGACCTGACAAACACATTGCTACAGATCTGATGCACCACCAGCGCTTCTGTTTCTGTGTTACGCGACTGACGCGCTCCGTGTCTGTGTTGCAGTGCTGCGGGACGAGTTCCGCGCGGCGCCGAGGGACGTGCAGGTGGCGCAGACGGAGACGGCCCGGCTGGTGTGTGAGCCGCCGCGCGGCCACCCGCCGCCAGAGGTCACCTGGCGGCGCAACGGCGAGCCGCTCGACGTGGCCGGGTCACGGCGCCTGCGCATCGCCGCCGGCGGCCACCTGGTGGTCACGGACGCGCGCCACCACGACGAGGGCGCCTATACGTGCGTGGCGCGGAACCTGGCCGGGGAGCGACGCAGCCGGCCGGCGCGGCTCACCGTGCATGGTGAGTGGGGTGAGAACGTTCGGTGAGAGCGCCTGGTGAGAACGCCCTATGAGAACGGAATGGCTGGGGGAGGGGGAGGGGGGGGGGCGCAGACAGGGAGGAGCAGTGCGGCGAGCGGCATGAAGTTAGGTACATTGACGGCCGCTCGCCGACAGCTGTCAGGTGGTAGCGAAGTGGGTGTTGGGATGCAGCGTAGTCAAGACGGCGGGGAGACGGTGTCACCATTCGTAACACCTGCATGGCGAAGAAACGGGAGTGTTGAGAGAGGTTTTTGCAGAAGGAATAAGATGGCTTTAACATACCTCAATAATGTTTCAGAATGCAATGGTGACGTCTTTTCATTCAAACTTATTTGAAGGGGGCACAACTTTCACCAGGCCATCCCTGAGTTATTGGTATTTTTCACAAGTATGCAGGAGAGGATCATTACAAAATGTCACTTGGGACTATTATCATCAGGAGTCCATCAGTGAGAACTCGGATTTCAGCCCCTGAAAGCCCGTGAAATGGTAGACAAATAAATTCTCCGGTGTTCATTAATGAAGATCGTTGAAAATGGGCAATACATATGTCATGTGAGCAAGAAAGTCCTTGAGCTCCTTGTTTTCGGGATTTCAGTTGGTGGACTGACTTCTGACAATAACCAACCTTCAACATACCTTAAGTTTCCGGGAAACAACGCCATTAAGGAAATATTGTGTAACCTGACAGAAGTCGACACTTCAAAGCTGTACTCATGGTCACTCGGCAGCAAGGCTAAGCAAAAAAAGCATTTACAAACCAAGACATGTGAATCCAGAAAATCCCCAAATCTGCGCAGACGCTGTCACGAAAAAGATGTAAAAGTGATGAATCATCCGGGCTGCCAGATCCTAACTCCCGATACACCGTGCCACGCTGTGGGCAGCACGAAACACGGACGACTGAGCCGGAACGTACGGTTACCCATACCGAGTATTAAGCTAGAAAATTACTTACCACGAACAGCTGGTACCACGAACATTGCACGAACCATTGCAAAACCTGATTTCCGGAATGTTCATGAGGTTCGTGCAATGTTCGTGGCATCTGATGTTTGTGGTGCCTGATGTTCGTCGTGCCTGATGTTTGTGGTGAGTAGTTTTTCAGCGGTAAAATAGTTTTCAGCCATATGCTTGGTTTGGGTCCTCGTAACCTTCCGATTTAGCCGTCCATGTTTCATACAGGCCGTGGCGTAGCACTGTGCATCAGGTGCTATGATCTGGCAGCTGAGATGACTTGTTACTGCGATGTCTTTTTAGTCACAGTGCCTGCACACGTTCGTTGTATTTTCTGGACTCACTTGTGGTGGTTTGCAAGTGTGATTTGTTGCTTAGCCTTGTTTCCTCGTGGCGACCATGGGCACAGAGGGTTTTATCAATACAGTCAATGCTTCCTTGAAAACGTCGTTAAATCACTACTTAAAGCTATGCAAGTTGTGCTATGCATGTGCGAGGAACATTATTCACGTAGATAAGATAGCAGTAATAGCCTTATTTGTCAGAGAAAAGCCAGGAGAATGGAGATATAGATAGGTTGATATTTTAGCAACATGCCTTTATCGAAACAAAAGCAGAAGCCACTTTTGCTATTGTTTCCATACAGGCATGTTGCCGAAATATCAGCCCATCTATATCTACATTCTACTGGTTTTTCTTCGAGGGATAAGGCTATCACCACTGTCTCACTACTTAAAGCTGGGTTATTGCCAGAATCAGATCTCCCATCCCGCAATACCACTATATTTTCATTGCCTGCACTATCACATGCTCACTATCATATGCAAGCGGTATGAATCAAACGACCAGTGAGCCCTCGCTCCCAAAGAGGCCCAGACCTGCCAAGTCAGAGTGAGGACCGAGGACCTTGAACAGGCTTATCTGGAGCTCAGCTGATTTATTCGAAGCCACATTACACTGCGCACGTGGCCTGCTCTCTTACGTCCTCTGTGAAAGCATGGCAGGGGTGGGAACAGCACAGACCGAGCCAGTGCTGCCGTATCTGGTGTCAGCCACCGTGAAGAGGTTCAGAGTTCGACACGCGACGCATGTCGGGCCTTTGTGTCCAGTGGCGTGACATGACCTTATTTGTGACGGGCTCTGTGCGTGGCACGAGCCACTTTGCATGCGGCGGCGGGGCCGCATGAAAGGCAGGAGGGCCGGGGCCTATTTCATAAGACGTTGCGGCATGTGTAGACGATGTTTGTGAAACAGATCAGCGAAAGCTCGAACTGAGGTTTACTGCCAGCAGAGCAGGCCGGAAATGTTGGCGGCCTTGCCGTGCATAGACGGAAGTTGCTTTATTTAATAACGCACGCGGCGTTTGATCTGAACGCAAGGAAACAAAGTAAGCAAACCGGGCACAGTCGGCGAGCACGCTCGGCAATAGCCGTCTTCAGATCCGTCTTTTTACGTATGAAGGCATCGCATTGTCTTGCCAGAGGTTACAGAAGAAGCAAATGACGGCGTGCTGACATGCCAGAAGTCGGCGCGTCCGCCACGTCATGGCTGCCGTTCTTCCGAGTAAAACATATGTGGCCTGTTGGAGAATGAGAAAAAACAAAAATGGACGTGTGCTCCACGGATAGGGAAATCAGGGTAGATGTTGCGTGGCTGTGAGTGGTGTAAAAAGCTTTTGCTTGCTGAGACACCATTTTTTGCCAGGAATTTGCATTTTAAGATGTGAATATTCTCCAAAATCGTTGTTTGGCGTTTGCCGTCGCACAAATATGTGTCATTCGCTCTGTAAAAACGAGCTTTGTATCAGTCACGGGCCTTGAAGACATGGGTGGCAACTGTGCGTAAGTACGCACTCGACGGTGCACCGGGCTCAGAAGCCGACCCCCTGACAGGCGCGCACGCGTCTCGTTATAAATGCACCCCGGGTGACTCGTCCACCCGCTGTATGCGCGGGGCGTCTTGAAATGTAAATAGCTGATCTAGATAGCGCGGCCATAGTTGAAATTAACGAGGCATCCTTGATGACGCCCACCGCGCTGCCGCCCGGGTGCCTCCTTACCACTAACTCGGCCCTGACAAATTGCGGCCCATCTTTGGCGAGAGGCGGCGCAGCGGCCGCGCCACGCATGCGAACGAGCCCTATTTCAGTGCGCGCTGGCAAATTGTGCAATTCGTTCTGCGCGCGCGAGCCTGACGTCCGGCGCGTCCGGCGGCTGGCAGAAGGTGTAGTTTTCCCACCGGTTGTCGGCACGGAGCGGGCTGAGCAGCGGCGCGATCCGGGCCGACATGGCAGGTACAAATGCCGACGGCGCGGCCAGCGCGTCCTGTCGGCCGGGCAGCACGCGCCGGGCTGCCGCTGCGCTCCTGGGGATGGTCGGGAGGATCTGGAGGTGGGGAGGTGGAAGGGAAGGCTGGATCTGGGGCGGGGCGTGCAGGGGGACGAGGGAATTTGAAGGGCTACGGGAGAAGCGTTGAACCGATCCGTCTGGGGCGTCAAAGCCGGGGTGGAAGTTCAGAAGATCTCAGAAGGTGCTCAAATCAGATGACCTAGCTCTTGCACTGCAGATTGAGGCATGCAGGTATATCTGTATATCATCCGCATGCATACACATGCTGTCTGTGCGAAGCTCCGAGTTCCCACCAGAGTCTCTGGATAGCGTGTATGCAGGCGGTGGGAGGGAACCAGTCCGCACCCAGCGCCTGAGGCCCTGCCGCGAGGACCAAGAAGCCAGCCATGCGCGTGCATTATCAGCGATCTCGTATGCACACGCGAAAGCAATAAGCATATTTCGGCTGCAGCGCACCGTGCGGGTAGCGTTACGGCGGTGTATCTGGCCATCCGTCTTCGGCCTGGCGCGCCGCCCCGCCCTGGCGCTGCAGCGCTAAGATACGGGTTCGGCGTCTGGAGCATGCCGTTCGCAGCCGTGCAGGCAGGCGACGGCGGCCCGGCTCTGGCTCGTGGCACGTGCCGACAACGGGCCGCGGCGCGGCTCTGGCTCGGGACGCGTGCCGGCGACCGGTCGCGCCGGCTCGGTCAGGCAGCCAATCAGAGGGCGCGCGGCGCCAGCTGGCGGCGCTCTCTGATTTGTGGCCGGGGTGTTTGGTTTTGACGCGCCGGCCGGGGTGCGGGGGTGTGGGTGGCTGGGAGGGTGGGGTAGGGGGGCGGATGACGCCTGGACAGGTGCAGGGAGCGATCGGTCGACACAGCACAAGCTGACAAGCTGACGGGCGGGCCGTCGCGCCAGCCAGTAGCTCGGACTCAACATGCGTGGAGGCCGAAGCCGTCTGGATTTTGGGGTGGGACGAGATGTTTAAACGAGCTAACGCGAGCATCTGAAAGGCCAGGGCTGCTCAGGATAACACATGATTACATTGGTCACCAGGATTGTCATGACTTATGTCGGAGTAAGACCCGTGTCGTTCGGAGGCTGACGCTCCAGCACAGTGCTGTGGCTGGACTGCTCAGTTCCTTGCGATGAGGTATACGAGAGCCATCTACTTTGATCTACACACAAAGTTCAATTTGGTCTTAATGCGCTAAGCGGTTTAGAACGAGCCACCAAACTAGGCGACATTTACTGTGCAGTCGAGCTACAGCTCGATTGCACAGTAAATAGATTAAAGCTTCTGAACGGAGATCGTTATATTCGAGGCAAATGGTCAGAACGAAATTATCGTCCGCATTGTGCCCCCCCCACGCCCATGTGCCATCGTAGAGGAGTGCACTATAGTGGGCGTAGGAGGGCGTTACAATGGGATAGTCGAGCTGCTGTCTCTCACAAGTGCAATGTCAATGCCACGACACGCCTCTGCATCACGCTGGTGGCCGTCGGCCCGTTCACTTATCTGTTCTCCGCATTCACTCCAGGTCACGTCTGACCCACCCCTGGTCCGTTCCTAGCCCGCTCACGATCTTTCCCTGATTCACCCCTGGGCCGTTCGAGGTGCCCTGGTCCGCTCCTGACCTGGCCGGCAGCTCCTGATCCTTCCCCGACGCCCCCCAGGGCGTCCGGGGCTTCTGATCCTCTCCTGACCCACCGGCTGCGCCTGATCCGGCCCGGCCCGGCGCGCCCCACGCCCCTCATTAGCGCCGAGCCACTGCACCGGCTCGGCCAGCGGTGATAAGACCGCCGGGCCGGGGCCGGGCCGCCGCCAAAGCCGCTTAGGGCCGGCGCCGGGCCGGGCCGGCAGCTGCGCTCTGCGTGGGACCGCCCCGGAGCACCGTCGGCACGGGGCACCGCTAATGGAAGAAGATCTAGGTGAAGCTAGGCTGTTAGTGATGCCCTTGCCTCGCAATGCCAGGTCGGTGTTGCTTTGCCATGCCGGCTTACCCAATTGCCGTGAGCAGGATGTGCGTGAAATTCGTCGTTGCTAAGACGTAGTAGTTACAATGCGATGTTCATGTTCGCCAGGACTGCTGGACCTGCTTCTAGGAGGCTGCATCTCCATCCGGCAGACTTCACTTTGTTTAAACCATTAAAATATAGTTCGCCCGGCTACCAGGAGCGATGAGCTGCCTTCCTCGTAAACAGCAGGCGGATCCGATACCGCGAAATGAGTCGAACAGTCACGAGAATGAATATAACCGTCCAACACAGCCCCCTACCGTAGCGTTCCACTCGCCCGCTGGAATGGTTCATCAACACACCCCTCTAAAATGAAGTCGTCCGTGGGTTTACGAGGTCGCAACGGTCTGCAGTGTCGGTCCGTAATCCACCATCAGTTTATTGGGACAGCAGCGTTTTACGGCGTCACAACAGAGCCGTGTCCGTGTTGTGCCTGCTCGTTTTACGAGCTCCCGCTGCCAGCAGCTGGCGGGCGTGGACCGCGGGTCTGGCGGGCCCGCGAGGACGGCGGCCGGTGGATCGGGTCTGGCAGGCCTGCCTCAGGAGGTCTGGCCTCGAGCAGGCTGGCCGCGGGCCGCGTCCCCTGCAGCCGCCGTGACCGTCCGGCAAGCCAGCGGTGGTGCCATTTTACTCGGAGTGTCAGGCCGGCCGACCGGTGCATTAGCGTCCTGTTATGCACTGCAATTCGGGTGTCAAAGGCCGTTTGTTGTGCGGGGGAGCCATGCACGAAGTGCATTAGCGTAGGCGCCGGGCGCTACATTGACAGGGTGAAAAAGACGGCAGTCTTTCTATTTCGGGAGCCGAATACCATTTGCTTTTGGGTCGTGCTGCGGTACGCTAATGTCAAACGTTGTTAAGTTGACGGTTTCGCTGAGGTGGGTCTCGTTAATCAAGACGTCTCACGATACCTACGAGTGGCAGCTCTCGTGCAAAACTGGGTCACGTGTTAATTCACAGGCTGCAATCTTTCCACGTGTCTGGTGTTAATAATTGCTGCATGTATCACCTATCGGGAGCAGCCAGAGATAAAGTATGCAATAAGCCAGAGTTGAATGGCGGAAGGTCATGCCAAAGTATATTCCGTACTTCATGACATCATCGTCAGTTTGCAGTACATGTAAGCATGAGCTGGTGCAGCAGAGCTTTAAGTTTATTTTAAATCGCCCGAGATTAGCAACCTGCGTTTTATATAGCTGCCAATCGAGTCAGAAAACCTACATTTTCCCGGTTTGCGCTGCACGTGACGTAATGCAGCCGAAGCAAAAGTGACACCCCACCATCGCTCCGATGACTGGACCATCGCCAAATCGCATTGGCTTACGCACGTAATCCTCGTGTTTACCGCGGCTGATGAAACTGTGCCACGTACCCACTTTGCAAAATGAGACGCCTCGATTCGCTGCGCCGCTGAGGTCACATCTGCGCCAGTTTGGCCCCGTGCCAGCCAGCAAAAATTCTGCGGCACGCACCCTGTGAGAGGGCCATGCTGCCGTGCATGCCGCAGCTCCTAGGTCAGTCCGCAGTGCCGGCAGTGACAGGAGCTCGAGTCACTCGAGCTCCTGCGTGCGGTCACAGGAGTGACTTCAGAGCGTGACGCGTGACGCAGCGTGCAGCGTGACACCGATCTTCTGCGTGGGCGAGTGAACGCGTTAGTCAGCTAGGCGAGCGTGCAGTGCGTGGTGACTAACCGCTTGACGAGGCCCGTGACGAATCGGTCTTCTGCGATCTGCGGTTTGCTCTGACGGCCCGATGCCGTCACGCTGTGGTCTTGACGATGTGAGCCCCGCGCACTGTGCTGCGCATTACCACGCTCTGGGCGGGAGACATCTCACGTCATTGTTCCCTACCTTTATCGACTCCTTTTCTGTCATCATCCATAGCCTGACTCTATTGTTCTCTGATGTCCTCCATTTGACTATTTCATTTTATTTAGCTCGCTCTTTTCACTTCTCACTTCGCTTTTCATTTCATTGCCATTTACTTCTTCCATTTCCACGGTTCAGTTTCACATCCCCTTCACTTTTTTGCTTTATTTCGCCATGTTGTGCCTTTTTGTGTTTTCCCACAAGCTATTTTTACTTTCTTTGCCCTGGCCCCTGTGCCAGTATTCACCAATGGCCCCTCCCTCTCCTCCCGCATTAAATCTGCTCCCATTCCTGAGGCCGCACAACTCCACAGATAGCAAAGTACCCCGGCGCTCTCCAGCTGTAGTGAAACCTTTACTCCCTGCGGCTTCCCGACTCGGCATCCAACTGAGCAATGCAACAGAGCAATGCCACCTCTCCGTCCGCAACGAGTGCTACCTTCTCGCACCTCCTCCAGCCCCCAGCCCGCAGGGTAACCGGCGCCCTCTCTGTTCCGTAGTGAAGCCGTTCTTCCTGCGGCCGCCGTCGGACGTGACGAGCGCCGTCTCGCGGCGGGTCGAGCTCGCGTGCCAGGTGTCGGGCGACCCGCAGCCGCAGATCGTGTGGCGGCGCGTCCGGCGCC